TTTTAATTATAATAAATTATTTTCACCATACAATCAAACATTAATATTTAAAATTTTTCCAATAAAACACTACATCACCCTTTATATTTATGTAAATATAACTGTAATATAATGAATCAACATACTTCTTTCCAGCTTTAATAATATTCTGCACTATATTGTTACAATTCCATAAATTTTTTAAGAAATGTTACTAAATTATTTTCTCTTCAATCATTTCCCTCCCAAACAGAACGTAAGTTTTCTAGATAAAAAGGATATACAAGTATTTAAAGCGAGAGTGAGAGAGAGAAGCTAGTGACTACGAGTCTTCTCTGACGCATATTTTTCTAAAATTCTGTACAAGAATCGAAGCTATTCAAGTACATAAATTGTGTTTTCAACACACACACACACACACACACATAAATTATTAATAAATAAAATCAAATTAAGAAAGCGCAAGTGTTTATTATCGTAAAAAAGCTGCGAAGCTCACATAATAAACCTAATCGTGCTTTTTTGTATCTACTTTAATTCTGTACAAAGTATTTAATATTTACTTTGACAATATTTTATTAAAGGGACATTATTTTTATTTAAGATAATTTGAAAAATCTTTGAGGGTTTTGTTTGTTTGTTGCTTGCAAATTGTCTATTTTCCTCCATCTAAAAAATAGAGGAAAGGAATTGTACGAAGGTCCTTTGTACGCAAAAGTAGTACAGTAGCAGCAGCATTTTGATCGTGCTCAGTAACTGTTCTCAGTGCTCGCAACCGCTATACACTACTGTCATTGTGACCGGTGTGTACGACACAAGTAGCAAGCAATAAATTTTATTTTCGGTCGGTAAGAATAACTAAATTGCGCAGTTTTGCATWCAGTTGCAAAGGTAAAAACCACATTATCACCACATATCAGCAAAAGAGAGAGCGGAGCGAACGCGGAAGTTCCAATTCGTTTAATTTTTTTACGAAAAGTGGTTTTTTGTGGCGCATTTTAGTTTCTTACTTTYGGTTCTTTTCTTTGGAGAATTTGTATTGTTGCAAGCAAGCGAATTATTTTCGTCTGTGAAGTGTGAAAATTCGAGAGAGTGAAATTTTTAAGCTATAGATTGAGAGAACCCACTCATTGAGAAGACGAGAAATCGCTTTTGTGGTGCTTCTCGTTGATATCGTCATATTCACCTACCACAGAAAAGGTAGTGTAAGCTTAAAAAATCAATCCAAATCAAATTCTCCACTTGTGGCTGAAAATAAAATCAAACAAATTTTTTTTGTTGGCCTATTACCAAAACAACCAACGACATAAATAAGCAGTAGCCAAGAGACGAAGGCTAAAAAGAGACGCGCATTTTTGAGCATTGCAATTTTACAAAATCCAAAACATTTGTAACGTTAATATCAATCTCTTAAACCAAACAAACAAATTCAATTCACAAAACTAGGTACTAGGCCAGCCCTCACAATGTCTGTCCCTGTACGCTACTCTGCTGCCGCCAATTACGCCGTCGTTGATAGTGGTTTGTCAAATACTCTACAACAAGAAGAGCAATACCACCAACACCAACAGCAACAACAACATCAACAGCAGTTGTATTGCCAATTTGTCGCTAACGCCAACGCCAACGCCAACGCCAACGCCAACGCTAACGTCAACAACATCAATTTGAGTTTGGGCGAGTGCAATAACTTCGTGAACGGCAATATAAACGGTTTTGACGTGCAGCAGCAGTTGATGCAGCAGCGGTCATCGATGTCGTCGTCGGTTTCGCCAATAACTGGATTACCCGCCAACATCARCATCAACATCAACAACAACATCAATCATCACCATCATCATCATCATCAGATTTCACCTTTAAACATGGACAATATGAATATCAATAATATTGATGTCCTGCAAGAGGAGGAAGAGGATCATCAGTTGCATTACCATCAGCATCATTTCGATAATCAGTCGGCATGCGAGCAATCGGAATTGCCGTTAAACAGCATGATGGGCGGCGAGACAGTGGCGGAAGCTATGAACTCAACGATGTTGGCGGCAGCAGTAGCGAATGGTAGCGGTATTGCAGCAATGCATACTGTGGATGTAGATGTGGATGAGTGGAGGATGTCTGACGAGGGCCGGTATGGGACACCGGGTGCTGCTGGCTTGGAATATCAAAAGTATGAGCTAGAACAACAACAACAACAAACACCTGCTAACATGATGAACAACCCATTGGAGTCTTCGTTAATGGACAATGAGAATAGGAATATGAAGATGAACAACAATAATGCCAATAAAACTGGCAACAACAGCTGCAGTAGCAACACCGATGCCAATAGCGTCAATGATGCCCCAAATTCGCCTAAGAAGGAGAATGAATTAGTCGGTTTGTCATCCGAAGAATTGTATCGTATGTTGAACGAATACAATGTGCTGCAGGATAAATACCATACTGTATTGCTGATGCCGAGAGAATCCAAGGTATGCTGACAGCAAGACAACACACGCTGCTGTATTATAATTCTAATTTCACCTATAACCAAAAAATGCTATATTTTATGACTTTATTTTGTTTGCTTGCAGCGTGAAGTGACGGCTGGTGGACGTGATGGCTCCGCGTATGTTTTACGTTGCCTTAAAATGTGGTACGAGCTGCCCTCCGATGTGCTATTCTCAGCAATGAGCCTTGTGGATCGCTTCCTTGATCGCATGGCTGTGAAGCCGAAGCATATGGCCTGCATGAGTGTTGCCTCATTTCACTTGGCTATTAGGCAACTAGGACTAAAACCAATACCCGCGGACGAATTAGTGACTATTTCACAGGTAAGCTTGTGCAAAGTGAGCAACACGTAAAGTTGTACATTATTTATGCAAAATTAAAGTAATTCGTTTTATTGGTAGTCAAAAATTAATGTAAAAAGCAAAACAATATAGAACAAMTTTTAGGTTATGTTAAATTTTTTCTTAATTTCAACGCATAATTTGTGAATAAATATGAGGTGTGACTTCATTTTGTAGATTTAAAACTAATCGCATACTTCTATTCTGTTTTGTATAGTGTGGTTGCACAGCTGGCGATTTGGAGCGTATGGCTGGTGTTATCGCCAATAAGTTGGGTGTACAAATGGGCACCACCCCGGTCACTGCCGTTACCATCYTGCGCGTTTTTTATGCCCTTTTCCGTAATTTGGCAAAGGAGGTATGCGATGAATTCTATGAATTCTATCAACGTATGATCAAGTTGGAAGACTTAGAAAATCGTTTGGAGAATTTGCTATGCGATGTCAAGACTACTGTTATAGCACCATCAACATTGGCATTAATACTGATGTGTCTACATTTGGATTTCCATATTAAGGCGTCCTATAAACGCGAACGGCCCGAATTAAAACCCGTATTCGAGTATATACTTTTCCTGCAGCAATATTTGCGGGTGAGTTATTGTGCGGCTATGCCTGCAAACAATAAAAATTTGATATAGCAAATTCCTGCATAAATGTGCTACGTGTATTTACTAATTTAACAAAAATATTTCAGATTCCTGATCGCGTATTCAGCTGCGGCTTTTCCATTGTTGCTGAGATCCTGTCTCACTACAATGGTCAAAATAAGCAGCCTTACAAGCAACGCCTGGTTTGGAAATTGTCCAGCCGCACACTGAAAGTATTGCGTCCAACCAATCGTTTTTCAACCGATCTACCCACCATCGATGAGGGCCAAGTGAATGTCATGGATGAAGGCTGTCGTTCAAGGTGAGTTTCGAYACTAATTACAAATTTTTTAAATGCTTTTGTGTCAAAAATTCGTAATTAGGACAAAGAAAATAATGTCAATGTACAAAATATCTTTGAAAGTGTTTTTGTTGCTAATGCCAAATAACCGAAGTAATTTTTGTTCTGAAATGTGTCAAATTTGCGTTTTGTTACTAATAAATAGTCTAGGGCGGCGATTTTTTTTACATTCATAATACATAATCCTTAACCAAAGTAATTTTTGTGCTAAAATATCTCAATTGATTACAAGTATAATTTATGTAATATTCTTTCGTTGTAGTATGTATGTTTAACAGACATGTATACATACATAGATATAGTATATATTTTTAGAACAAATAATTTCTCTACACGAAATGCTTGAAACTTTTTTGCATGATCTATTTCGACAAAAAGTCAATTTACATTCTGCTCACATATCGTTGCGATTATATAAAAAAAATGACACTTCAGGAGTACAAGTCAAAAACATAATGGGGGGAAAATACATACATACATATGTACGCTTCCCTAAATTGCGCACTCATTGTATAGTGTTGTTGGCGCGTGTAGCTCTAACATATTTATGTCTACAACTACAAAAACAATACATGCAAAACTATATAGTCAAGAGGTTATATATAAATATGTATAAACGAGCATATTTACGTAAATATTTGCGGTTTTTAGTTTGTATGTATGTGTGTATCGCCAGTACGCACGCATGTGTCTGTTAAATATACGACGCATACGCTTTACCCGACATATTTATGTATGTACTATGTACATATAGCTCGTTTGTTGTTTGATGTGCTATTTTTCAATTCATTATCTGCTAAMAACACACTTACTTGCGTACTTTATTGCTTTTAACTGGCAGCGAGACAAAACATAGAAAGTGTGTGCCAAAAAAAGCACAAAATCAAAAGAAAAAAAAAAAAATCAATATGCACGTATGTATTTCGAAAAATTTCCAGAAACTGTCGTGTTGACGCTTTCCGACAACTTTTCCGAGTATGTTTGTAGGTGCTTCAGCAATGTTTTTAACTTTTAACAACAACTTTGAGTGTTTTGTATTATTATTTTTTGATATACTACATATGTATGTATATATTTTATTTACAATCTATTTTGGATAATAATGTGTACTAAAAATTGTTGTTCTTTGCTACTTCACGTAACTGCGTAAGAAAGTKGTTGTCGTTGTCGCGCAGAAGTTCATTGCACCCAAATTGGTCATGTGAAATTCTTTAAGCAGAATGGTGTGATGTCCACAGTCTAAAAATGAAACCTTATCAATTGTTTATCAAAAAAGTGGCATTGATTTTTTTTTGCGTTTTTTTTTAGTATAGTGAGTGTTTATGTACATACATAGGTATATGGCAAAAAGCAAAAACAAATTTGTATATATTTTTTTATAATAAATTTTTCTTATAAATTTACTAATTTTCATTAACTTTTTACAGAACTGAAAGCATTAGCTCCGAGGAGGAGGAGGACTGGCCCACATCACCCATTATACCGATCTTTGAACAGTGTTAGTACCGTACACACGCATAAGAGGATGCGAACCGAACATCAGATTTTTGCTTACGAACTCAACAAATAACTGCAGGATATTTTTTTCGGTATATTCGGATAGTTTGAGTAGAGGAGTACGCAAAAAAGTTGCGAAAAGCAGAGAAAAAATCGTTTCAAATGGAGACGCATTGTTGTTGTACGCATTGCAATTGAGAGATGACAATGAAATGCAATATAAATACGAAGTTTAAAAGCACGAGAGAGCAGCAACATGAGACAGTAAAGCAACAACACCAACAACATATCCTGCACATAAAAACAAGCAACAACAGATATTTTGCTTTTTGAAAAGAAAAAATATTTAAAGTAAATAACAAAGGGAGTAACAGTCACATCCGTAAGCGAGGAATCAACAGTTTTTAAGAAGAACAAAAACTAAAAAAAAAAAAACTAAATTTTTTTTTAACAATAACATCCGGCTCCCCACTCTGCGATGTGTGTATATTTTGCTATGCATCATAATTACGAAAGAATTCTTATTTGTTTTAGTATATGTATATACGTACGGTAATAGAAATGTTTAGAAAGGAGAAACAAAACCAAAACAAAAAATATATGGGTTAGAAGGCGCATATGTGTGACCGCGGCCAGTCAGACAGATCAGATAGAACGGTGCCTATGTAGAGGGAAGATGTTTAATTCTATTTCAAAACTTAAGGAAAACAACAAAAACACAAACAAAAAAAATTTAAAAACATAAATATGAAAAAAAAAAAATCAAAAAGCAAAAAGAAAAAAAAACTAAATAAATGTTGCGGACCATCATACCAAGGATTGATGCCGTTCCGAAGCATTTTTTCAAGAAACCGTAGAAGTGCGTAGTAAAAATTCTTGGCAGAATACGAATTCACAGCAAAACCTACGAACATATTTCGTTTTAAACGAACCAATTATGCTAACACCTTGTATATTTGTTAAGTATTTTAGTTGTGTACGGAACATGCTAAAAGTGTTGCGCATGCGCGCACAGCTGGAATACCGACAAATTGCTGTTGATGAGATGAGCACGTGTCGTATGCCAACGGGACACTGCATTTGGGTTCGCTCACACAAAAAATATTCCAAAACATTTATAAAGAAAACATAAAGTTTGTAAAAAAAAAAACCCAAAACAAAAAACTAATTTACTTATGATTAATAATTATGAAACATTACTACAATCAATATCAATTATGTCATGTCAAGCCGTTTGTTTGTATTATTCTTTAATTATAGTACTTTGTTAAATTATTTCTGATAAAAAAAAAACAAAAACAAATCAACAACAAAACAACTAATATGCAAAAGTTTAAAATTAAAAAGAAAAAATAAAATAGACAAAAACATATTCAATTAGATTATATAAAATGCAAAAACAAAAAGAAAAAAAATATCACCACTACAATAATTAGTAAATACTGTAATGTTGTCTTTGTATACATTGAAAATATCAAAACAAAACAAAAAAAAAAAAAAAAAAAAAAAAAAAAAAAAAAAAAAAAAAAAAATTAAATACGCAAACGATATGACGCAATTAAAAATAACCGTTTTATTCCAAATTTTCTTTAGTTCTATTTATCGCAACACCGAATTTGTAGTAAGAAGTACACACACAAAAAAAAAAAAATTTAAAAAGTACAAAAATATTTTATGATTAATTTCGAAAACAACTGTACGTTAATTTACGCCAAATTCTCAAAAAAAATTGTAAATTTAAATTTGTTTAAGACGCGCTAAATTTTAAGTATATAAGCTGATTTTAAAAACGTGCACCTTGACACTTGCTTGTTAAGTTTAAAACGAAAAAAACAAAACGCAACAGTTAAATCAAAGCGTAAATTGTGTCTTAAGGGTGTCAAGAAAGTGAAAAAAATCCATCTTGTAAACAAAAATTTATTACATCACATAATTGACACAATTCATGTAATGATAACAACAATTTTGATGTAATTGGCAGCAAGCATTTTGATAATTTCGAAGCTACGACAAACTTCAAACCATCCTAAAGCGATGCAAAACATACAGACAAACACACAAATACAAGTACGGAACTATATAGAAAAATGTTACTAAGTTTTTTGGCAAAATTACAACACTATGCCATTTCAATGGTAATGGTTAGCATTTCGTAAAATCACTTTCGATTGAAATGTGCATGTGAATATGCGAAATGCGTAAATACAAAAACTCTTTCCGAGCCGAAGTGAGTTGTACCGAATACACACTCCCTTCGGCTCAAGCACAATATGCCACAGTCTATGCCTACTCCCCAAGCGGCATAGAAAAATATTGTGCAATCTACAATACACGCTAACGTTAGCACATTATTTAGCTAACAGCGTTAAGCGTACACAATGCCAAGCATTGTATTTCAGTGGCGCCGCACAGAGCGTGCGCTCACAGTTACTGTATTGAGCGAGGAGGCGAGTGAGTTATACTTGGTCAAAAAAGACTGAAGTTTTCGAAGTTAAAGGCAAACGGCGAAAGCCACATTTTAGGAAGCTGCACGCAGTTTGTGTGGATTTCCTAATTTATTTTGTTTTATTTTCATGCTCACACTTGCTTATGACATATACACATGTTATCCTCGAATTAAATTCATTGGAGTGATCTTTTTTTTTTATTATTTTTAATTCTCATTATTATTTATTATTATTTTTTTTTTTGTATACAAAGTATTTTTTAGAATATCTTTTTTGTTAATAATTTTATTGCTAATATTTAAGTATGAACAAACAAACAAGCAAAACTACTGCAATCAAGAAGCAGTGCTTAGCAACTTGTAGCAAGTTGTTGTTGGAGTTTTGAAACTCAATTTTCGCTGCAACAGACTWATTTTACATTAAGTGTGGAGCAAAAATTTTCCAAATTTGATATTTGCCAAAAAGCAACAACTAAATATGTTTTAAGACAACACTTTCACTGCATTTTTGCGTGATACAAAAACAAAAAGCGAAATTAACAAAATGTGAGCAGCTTTCAGCTTGTTTTTTTTTTTCTTAAATACTTTTAATTATTTGTATTAAACAACATTTTTAATTTAAGCTATGTTAATCATAATATTTTACTTGAATGAAATTATGATGCATACAATCCAAAAGAATATACACTAAAGTGGAAACTAAAAAAGTATTGCAAAAAACAACATAACCTAATTGTTAGTTGTACGGGCGCAACAACTGTTCTAGGTACTACATTAAGGCAACAAAACCACAAAAATATACAACTCATAATTAGTTAGATCGTAATAAGCGTGTAATGCGTGCTCTTGAGCAAGCAAAGKAGTGAACAGCAAATTTCAACTGTATTCAATTTTAAGTTTTTGCCAAACACAATTTTGGAAATTTTTCGAATGATTTTATTTTTATTTTTGCATAGTTTTTAATTAATTTCTCTTTGTTTTTAAATAGCAGCAGGCTGTAAAGTACATTATTATATGCAAATATTGCAAGTAGCCTGCGTAAGAGCATTTTGTAAGCAAACATAACAATTGGAAATGTGCAACAATTTTCTCAACAATTTAAAATTGTGTATGAACGAAAATAAATTTGTGTGTAGTTGGTAGTTTCGCGAGTCATTTTTGATTTCGTCGAAATAAACTTCCAAATGCGCATATCAAATTAAACTAAAAGAAAAAAAAACAAAATAAATCGATTTTCATTCAAAGCAAACTGTTAAGGTGTTAMAAAATTTAAAATTTCTTCCAGCTAATAGCGCTGCTGCCAGCGCYTAAGTGACTAAGTAATGGTACGCAAATCGCCTCTCAACAAAGTTGCCACTTATGTGAGTGCGCTTTGGACGCTTTGACGGGGTATGYACTGTTTGTTTGTCAGTGCGCGTGTTACTTCCTATTCGTCCGTCTGCTGTGAGCACCATCAAAGTGAGTACATATAATTGCTACACAAGCCTGCTAAGTAAGTACAGTAAGCTGCACCTGACACAAATATACACAACAAATTTGTATATAAGTACATTAGGCTGTCGCTTATTTCACAAGTTGTTCTTTTTTTTTTTACAAACCACCGTTGAAGTTTCAGTTTTTGTGCGCAAAAAAGCAGCCGACGCAAACAAACGCTTTATTTTCAATACAAATTGTATTTAAATCTAATTGCTTTTTATAATTGTATAGAACATGAGATTTAGGGAATGTTCGCGCAAGCAAATAATTGCATCAGATTTGTGACATTTATGGTATTCTCAGCAGTTAAATATACTGCAACATTTTTGCTTCTAATATGATGTCTTGCCATATTRCCGCAGTGATTGAGACCAGACCATCCTTTTAAATCGAAATTTCGCATTAAATAATTAAACCGACTACATTGAAAATTCGTTATTCTAGTACACAAATTTTCGCTGTGCCAAAAAGTCCCTTGCAAATTTTGCTGTAATTCCACGCTTTTAAAACTTATACGCAGTTAAAGTTATATATTCTGTGTACGGTGCATTCATACAAGTGATTTATGCATACAGTCTGCGTTGCTCATACGCCACGGTGTACAGTATGCATGCAGTGCATTAGATGCATAACTTTAACTGCGTATAACTTTTAAAGTAATGCCTTTATGAAAAATGTTATTCAGAGCTTTTTTGTAGAGCGTAAAATTTYRTATTAGCATAACGTAACGGTAAATTTGTAGGTTTATTTGTTTTGTGATTAAATATTGGTTTTAAAAAATGGTATGCAAAATACATGCGAAGAGTTTACTTCAAAGCTTTAAAAAAAAAACTGCAAGGCGCGTTTGCTCTACTTGGTGAATACCGCACATGCTACATATACATATATACACCAATTCTCAGTGCTGTTGGCTTTGACTCACAAATATAAAATATCTTAATATCARAGTTTCCTGCAAAACTGCCAACATAATTTCATGTAAAAATTGCTATACAATTTTTTTCTTAAATCCAATGACTTATGTTTGTTATTTTGCACATTTATATAACAGTATTAAAAAAATATATATAAAAATATTAAAAAAAGATATGCTTGCATGCCTTCTAAAATGTGTTTGCTTTGACGATTTCGAATTTCTTGCCAATTTAATGTTCATATTTTATTGAGATTGCGCATAAAGCAGTAAAGCAGCATTWTCAAAACTTTTGTCATTTGGTATTATTTTTTTATGGCAATACATATTAAACTAATACTAAAGAAAAAGAAAATTTCAACAAAACATATTGATAGAATTTGTGATGTAGTAGAAACATGAATACACGTTATAGTGGCAATTTTAATGTTAAAAATGGTGATAYTAAAACGTAAATAAACTACCAACCGAACCACTAATTACGAACAACGCTGATTACATTTCAAGCTAAACAATTTTTTAGCAAAATCTAATACGAACATCTGTTTAATATGTAATAATTTGTAGTTGTAGCTGAGCACTTTTTTTGAAAGCATATAAAATTAAATACATATAGCTTTTGTAACTGTTTGGTATATATGTAAATACATACCCACATATTAAACTTTGACAAAATGTAGCAAAATCTTTTTTCATAGTCACATATGTACATACACACATATATGCATATACATATAAGATCAAAATGACTTTACTGCTGGCCTTAATCGCCAAACAATTAGTAAAATTATACAGAAAAGTGGAGTTTTTTAAATACGCGAAATATTCGCTTTATTGGCCTACAGTTAGTTGAAAATGCAACCATTCATATGCCACACATTTGAAATGTGTGTTACTTTAAGTGATTTTTTGTTAATTTAAGGCATTTTTCTGTTTACTCGGCTTATTTCATACGTAAACATTTCAAGTTTTTAATTAAAGCGAAGTGAACTTCAAAAAAAATAAAATTTAAATAAAAAAGATAAAAAAAAATTAACAACAATAACAACAAGACATTTTGAAAATTTGCAAGAGTACGCAAGAGTAACAACATAACAACAACACATTCTGAATGTGTATTTCCTTAATAATTTAAATACAATGTGATCATTTATTTATTTTAGCAGCGCGATATTGTTAGTAAGGTGCGTTTGTATTTGTGTGTTTTACTTATTGTCGAAAATTATAAAAATAAAAAATATAAAAATTAAAAATCAAATYAATTCTGTATTAAAACTACATTTTAAATCATCAGTTCG